GCATCATTCGTCTCACTATTGGTTGAATATCATTCCATCTGCCCTTGCTCACATGCCTGGCAAAATTGTCAGCAGTGAGCCTCTCACCGAGCGTCATTTCCAACTATCTTTGGTAGTCATTCCATCTATCACATTCGAGTAGATAATTAGGAGTATCCTCCTCTTCGTTGCAATACACGCAGTTTGCGTACTCTCTCTTTCCTATCCTCTTCAGGTAGCTGTCAAAACAACCATGTCCTGTGAGGAACTGTGCAGTATAGTTTAAAGTCCTGGTAAGGTAATTTTATTACAATAGTCAATGTAATGGATAATTCAATAGTTTTTGATTATATACTCTTCGCTTTGCGGTTTTGTGTCTTAGGCTTTTGTTTATTTTCATTCAAATTATCTCATATTTTCTATGCTATTTTGTATTTGATCACTTCTGATGATTGCATTTTATGTATTATCTGTGGCTTTCTTCATTGTTAGCTTTTATTTAGGGTTAAGTAGAGTAGCTTAGGCTAGACTTCGCTCTGTTGCAGATTTCTGTATTGTATATAACAATACTCAATAAAGACATAATAATAATAATAATAATCGATCCGCACCACTCCCTTTTAAATCCATGTTTTAATATCTGGTATCACGCTTCTGATCAATACACCATGGCCATTTTTGTTGCCTCAGATTCACTTAAAACGCGGAACTTAAACAGTCGAAAAACTTCTCTGCTTAAGGCAGATTTCATAATTTTAAACGCCAACTCTCCACTTTCACATTCTTATCATTTAACCAATGTTTGTCTTGGAACGATTTTTTTTTGATGTTCTTTTCTGTCAGTTGAAGTTTTTCTATTGATTATCAGAAAAATGGTACTTTCAGACACTTTTGTTAAGATGCTACAAAGTAAAACAGCATCATGAACACCTAGTATTTTGTCTCGCGCACGAGGTATGTCATAAACGTTGTCTTTTAACTCTCTATTCCCAGTAAAAACTACTGTTTGTTTATCTGGATATACGTTTCTTAGTTCTAACTAGTTTTACATCATATCGTTTTTTGAAATGAATGAGTAAAGTTATTTTTCAAACCTGTCAACTGCGGTTTTTGAACAGCATAGATGAGTCACTGCCTAGAATTTCGTATTCAGACTGTACATACGTAACTTCAGCGGCTTCAATTTTCGAGATCCCCATTTTACTATACATCTATGGACTCAGTTTCATTAACCTTTATGCGTTATTTCTTTGGTCACTCCTCAATTTAGGGCAAGTTTCTCTGAAGAAATTGCAATGCTATTTTTGCTATTTTGTATTAACAATGAATATTTTGATAATATATAGTAGAAAACACCAACTTTATCACTCCCTAATCAAATTTGCAGCATAAAAATAACACATGTTGCAATTACAGCAAATCAATCTATTTTCATTTCAATGCGCATAGGTGGCTGTAAAAAGTAAAAGCCATGACAATTGATTTTATTAATCACAGCTATCAGAATACGTTTAAAACAGTTTTGGGTTGTTAAGGTTTTCAAAATGGGTAGAGAAAAGATTATTAGTGAGAAAATTCGGTTACTGATAATTAAATTTTTTAATTCTGGGAAATCAAACTCAGAAATTGCAACTTTGTTAGACTTATCGCGGTACAGTGTAAGAAATATTGTTAGAAGATACAACGTAACTGGTTCAGTTAATATTAAGCCACGATATGTGAAAAAAGTAATATCATAAATGCCGACCGGAGAGCATTAAGAAGAATAATCGTGAAAAACAGGCGTGCCAATTATTTACAATTAAGTGCTCTGTGGAGTGACGCTACTGGAAGGAGAATTTCGAGGTCCACAACTCATAGAGAGGCCCACAAACTGGGATTTAGCACTTGCAAGGTAAGTTTTCTTATAAAAGTGAAGTAAAAACCCTAAAGTTGCACAACTTGTTTATAGGCCAAAGAAAAGCCACTATTAACTCCACTGCAAAAGAGAAATCGGCTTAGATGGGCTAAAGAACATAGACAATGGACACCTCAACAATGGAGTGCAATACAATGGAGTGATGAGGCCCGATTCGAAGTTTGTATTGGTGACAGTCGTAGTAGAGTTATTCGCAAAAAATGAAGCATTCCATGTTGACTGTCTGAAGAGAAAAGTGAAATTTCTAGCATCCATTATAGTCTGGGGCAGTATGTCATCAAAAGGAGTAGGAAAACTTCATTTCATTGATGGAAATGTGGATACAAACAAATATTTGGCAATTTTAGAAGAATCGCTTTTACCAGTGATGGAAGAATGTTTGACATACGGCCAAGGTTTTGTATTTCAGCAAGATGGTGCAGCGTGCCATGCATCAAAAAAGGATATAAAATGGATGGAAGAAAATAATGTACCACTTTTGAAATGGGTTTCTAGCAGTCCAGATCTGTCACCTATTGAAACTTTGTGGCACGAGATGAAAAAGGTTCTACGACAACATCCTGCTCGTACAGTCACCGAACTGAGACAAAAGCTTCAAGAAATATGGGATTGTTTTACACCAAATGTTTGCCAAAACTTGGTTAACACTATGCCCCAAAGAATTTCAGCCGTAATAAAAAATAAAGGTGATATTACCCAATGGTAATCTTTCAATTGTTGCTTTGTTAACTTCGCGCATTTATTCGCACATTGTTTATTTGTTCAGATGTTCTATTAGTTATAGGTCTAAGTGATTTCAAATATGTATTTTTTACGACTAGAATGTATCTAAAATGTTTTTGAGAAAATAAATTGTTTTAGAAGTAAATAGTTTCGTCATGTTTAGTTTATAAAGGCATATTTTGGTACAAATCTTGAAGTGGGCCAACTGAAGTGAGAAGGGGCTCGTAGAGGGTGGGTTTTATAACACTTCCTTGTGGGACGCCTGAAGCGATAAGAGTAAGGTATGTGGTAATTGGTATGGGAAGCAAAACCGTATTTATAAAACTGCGTGTGAAATACAATCTCAATATACTTGACCCTGTTTTTAACAACTGAACACTAACAGCCAATTAATAAAAGATGTTGAATCGTTTAAGCGATAAAATCAACTGAACTGTGAACGATATATCAGCTTCCGATATATTTCTTTGGCAAAGTGATATTCAAAGACATGTGTAGATATCGATACATCTCCACCTACATCTTACGGGAATTTTAACGAGAAAAATCTAGGTCAAATTGTACATAAACGTCAGATATATAAAAATCCTATGGATTTTATGACCAATAATTGTTGTCCATCTTGTACATTGTCACATTTTACAGCTAAATTGCCTTGGGTATAGAGTCTCATTAGATAAATACTCTCCATTTTTATCAGTAACGTTTTCAAGCTATTTTTTATTTTTTCTTGAAAAAAAAAATGTCTATGCTGTCGTACGCTATCAGCGATTTTTTCCTAATTAAATGCTGATGAAGTATTTCACAAAATTTTCAATTCGACAGTTTTTCAACAATTTGTTTCTAAACAGCATGTTCTGCGTCTTCCATCAACATGAATTGGTAAAACTTGCCCCCCAGTGTTCAAACGAAAAATTGTTCGCCAAAGTTGTAACTTAATAAGTTCTAGCGTAATGTAATGAGTTTCCCACAGCCTGTCCTTATATCCAGTTGCATCGCCTTTCTCAAATCTATCACTTAGCAAAGGTGATCCGTATGTTAAAGTCAACCTCAAATTGAGCTTTTGTTGCTCTATTTCGATTTGGTGAAAATTTAACTAAGATAGAGTTGCATCTGACACCAGTGCATCTGCAGTAACTTTTGGGAGAAGTTACGTCTGCAACTTCAACAAATCAGTTGGTTAAATTGGTTGTTTGATTTCTTTCACACGAAAGTTACACGAATACGATTGATTGACAGTAATCTCTTCCCTTTACCACTATTCTATACTGAGTGACAAGAAAAGGTGAACACCTACGTACGTTTATTAGAATACAAGAATTTTTTACATATCCATTTATCTTGCCATTTATCAACCGTTTACCTTGGCCACCACAATCGCCTGACCTGTCTCCAATTGAACATGTCTGGACCATGATAGGTCGCAGGCTCTTCTTGTACTCCATTCAAATCGTCCTTATCAGTTAAACATTTCTCAACGTCAAAAGGCATTTGAACAATTCGGCGAAATGCTCCATGGCTTGGTTATTGAGTCGTATTCATAAAACAAATGATATCCTTGTACTTGCAAATTCTGAAGGAAATCCTCCAGATGGTATTTATAATAATTTGAAGTAAATGCTTTTGCTTTTTGAGTATAAGCATATCCTTCACAGCAGTGATATAAGTAAAAGGATATTCATAATCTTCACCTTATACTTAGCATAGGAAGCATATCCTTCAAAAAGTCTGAGTGTGGTCAGTGGCAGACTCAACTTCGTAAAGAAAGGTGGTCAAACGATGATGGCGGAAATTTTGGATGTTAGGGATGTTAAAACGTACAAACCTCGTTTACCTTCACTTGGTCGTGACATCAAAAAATTATATCGGTTTGACGAAGCAAATGTACAATGGCTTGCGGACAGATTTTTAGTTGAGAATGAGGAAACTCGAAGAGAAGCACTTTCATGTATTCATAAAATGAGATATGTATACGCTATCTCGGTGACCCTGGATATCAACAACGTATTGATCAGGAACTTGGTGTTAGTCAAGCAACGGTATCTTGGACTGTGGCTAGAGTTGTGAACAGCATAGTTGCAAAGTCGAACGAATGGTTCAAGTTTCCAACTACCAACCATGAACTGATGGAGGCCAAGCGGATATGCCAAGACAAGTATAAATTTCCGACAGCAGTTGGTGTAATTGATTGTACACATACGAGTATAGGAATCCTGAAACCAAATCGCCATGGAGATGAGTATATCAACCGAAAAGGGAAACCTACTTAAAATGTGATGCCAGAGAGATGTTCACAAGTGTTGATGTTGACCTGGATCAGTGCATGATTCTAGAATATGGAGAAATTCAGAGACTGGCTCACAACTAATAAATAAAGCAAATGTTGTACTACTTGGCGATGATGCTTATGGTATTGAGCTATGCCTTCAGAAATTCTACTCCAGGTGCAGAAATAAATTATAATAAGCTTTTAAAACAAGAAAGAGTTATAACTGAACGCTGTTTCGGTCAACTGAAACGCCGGTTTCCTATCCTACAGTATGTTTGCCGCGTAAAGTTGGAAAATGTGCCGAAGATAATTATTGCTTGTATTGTACTCCATAATGTTGCGAAGAGCTTGGGCTATCCTGACAACAAGACCCAGATGAAGATGAAGGAAATCCTGAGAATGACGAACTTCCTCTCCGCCAACTAGGTCAACAAATAAGAAGCAAGAGTATTATAATAAATAGTTTTACTGATTAAAGTGTATTTATAAGTTATAACAAGTTTTATTTTCGTGAACATCATAAGTTTCAGGTGGCTTCTGACTCTGCACCATTTCTAATTTCGTTTTATAATACTCTTGTTGTAAAATACTTGTTTGGTACTGCTGTTATAACACTAGACGTTGCAGTTCTTTTGTAGTTAACCCTTTGGTTTCCTCAGTTCCGTATTTCTCTGTTGCTAATTTTCTTTTTGGTGGCAATGTCTTCTGAATTGCTGGTGCTGTATTACTAACTGTTTGCTGACTGCGCTCGGTATATAGTTCACTTCCTCCTTCTTGAACACTACCAACATGAATGGCACCTCTAATTTTCCCAATTGTAGGATTACCGTCACCTTTCAGCAACTTTCTTTCCCAATCTAACAATTTAATTGCTTTATTACCCGTCTTTTTAGATCTGCTTTTTTCTTCAATCTTGATTTCATGTTGTTGTTTTTTTTGAATAAGCCTTTAGTATCTAATGGTTTGCCGAATGTTGATTCGTATTTTTTCAACATCTTCTTCGAGGCATCGTCCTTTCTCATTTTTATTTTTGGAACTTTTGACTTTTGCAAAATAATGGAAGCAATGGAAATTTCATCTGCGATGAACTGCAGATCGTTGCCATTATTTTCTATAGTTTCCTCATCACTTGAGGATGACATGCTTATTAATTTGATAAAAAAATGTATCCAGTAAAAATACGGAACGGTCTGTGTAAGCTCTGGAGTACAACTGTCAGTGATGCTGAGTGAACGAACTCCCACGTCAACTACAAGCTGGAACAAGTCAGGACATGTCGCTCAAGATACAAATACCAGTCAACCTTTTACTTCTTCTTGGAGGATATCCTCGCGAGTATAAGGTAATCATTATGAATATGAAAACAAGGATATGCTTATACTTCTACCTTCTTCTCCGAAGCAAGACCTCATACTTTTACCTTATGCTTCCGAGGATATGCTTCTCTTTTATGAATACGGCTCATTGTATCTGATGAGTGAATACCATGAGCGTCCGCACGGGTGCCAAGAGGGGCTAAATTGGCTATCCCCCGCTCTTTAAAATGTTCTAGATGCAGAAACACTTCCCCTCCTCAAGAAGTTTTGGCGGCAGGTACACCTTCCCAAAAAGATAGCACATTTTTATAATGTTAATTAAACAACACTGCCGGAAGTAAGAGTAACAGAAGATCTTGGAGTCATATTTGACACTTTGAATAAGGCATTTGTGATGTCGAAACTTGAATACGTTAGAATGATTTGGTATTGCTGCTACGTGAGGACTTGTGACTCATTGGAGAAAGGACAGCGTAAATTTCTCAAATATCTATCCTACAGGCTAGATTATTTTGAAAATCGATCTAGTGGCCGCAGAGTTGTGAGCAAGAAACGAGAACAGTTCTGAATTTTGATGTTATTTAGAGTTTCTTTCATTTTCGGTAGAGTCAAAGCATTTCTTACCAGGAGGTGAAGTTTTTGAAAGTAATGCAACCTGAGTCGTTTCCCTACTTAGTAGTAGTAGTTTAAACGGTTTTAAAACATTTGGTGTATTTTTTAATTCACCGGTTGAGCAACCGGTGCCACCGGTGGACCAGACATCTGTCCTTTTAATTCAACCGGTTACTGCCGACACCATACAAAGCTGTCAACAGTGTCAACCATAAGCACCGCATCCATCAGTGGTGGAATCAACCGGTGAATTAAAGAATTCACCTGTATTGAGCGAGTCAATAACATAAACAATTATACCAAATACCAGATTTTTCCTTCAAAGCTCTTCCCACAGTTTTAAACAACTTCAAGTGGTTCAAGTATAAGAAAAACACTTCAATTGTGATTGCATTACTTTGCCACCTACTGCCATGCGGAATTAAATTTGAAATCCGATAGTTTTTATGTTTTTATGACCGTTTTCGCGCAATAAACACAACGATGAAAGGTATCCATGGAGATTTTAGAAGCAGCGTTGATGTGGGTGCCTCCAAAATTGGTGACCCACTTTGTCTCACATCCGGTAGAAAGTTGATACCTGCGTCAAATAAATGAGGTAAAGTAGTATTGACATATTACTTTTCATGGGAAGAATTCCTAACTTTGACGTTCGTACTTACTTATAGTCCGGTACCGAAGGTTGCATTTTTTGGCAAAACTACGGAACATTCGTAGAAGGCTATTTGCTATGGACGGAGCTGAAATATACAGGGTGTTAGGGAATTAATATTCGTAACTTTAAGAGGTGATTCCTTGCATTATTCTAAGCAAAAAAGTTCATTATAACTTATGTCCGAAAAGACGCAATTTTTTGTGGCTAACATTTTTTTTGAATAACGCTTTCCGTACAGTATATTGGCTTAAGAAGATGTCAGAACTTACCGGTACTTATTTGACAAGATGCGATGTACGAAAAAAGAAAAAAACCAACATCCGTAAATTACATGAAGTTGCAGTTAAATGTATTAGTAATCACAATAGCTGTTCAAAATGGGAACAATGGGTATCTACGCAAGCTTGACACCGTCCAACCCAATTTTCTCTAACTCCTTGAAAAATTCCAGACATATTATGTATTTCATTAGCGGCGGCCAACATACGCTCCCTTAAATCATTATGTAACAGGATCTGCGTCCGAGACTCCCGGACCTCTCAATATCGTGCCTTGAATATATAGTTCGGATCTCCAGTCCAATACTTCAATTTCTGGACTGGTCCGAGATCCCTCGAATTTCAAATTCTGTTACCTTTTACTTGTCTTCCTATAGGAGGTAGAACCTGACATAAAGTAATATAATCTTGACTCATTGAAACACTCACTTTACGCGGAATGATGCTCCCTCTGTTCTCCAAGTAATCAGAGAATGTGGTAAACGCCCGAATGAATACTTTCGGAAATCTCGAACTCAGTTAGCTTCAGTTAATGAAATTAATGGAACTCAAGTTAAAGGAGACTCATTTTTATTAATAATTGAATTACAGGCTCAAAACATCTATACACTCGTGAAGAGTGAAGTAGCAATGACAAAGAACAGTTAACTTCGTAAAATTAATAGGCTGGGGAAAAGATCACTGGAGGAGTGAATTACGACTAAGTTAAAAGGAACGGTGACAACTAAATTACAATAAATTTAAGTTTGAACCTAATAGCAAAATTAAACTCAATAATCTCAACTTTACAATGCTAATTAATCAAGCTAATGCATAGAATCCTTAGTTGACTCGGTGTTATTTTAGCTTTAGCCAGAAGGGCTAATAAAGAAGGGAAAAGCCCCCTTTTAAGTAACTAGAAGTGCTTACTGATGAGAACACAGCTTAACACAAATTCTACCACTGCAACACTTATTAACAGCCACTAACTGAGGGAAAATCGAGGCAACTTTTTCAACCGTACAAATGAAAGATAAGAGAAGAACTGAAGTTTATAGTTTCAAAATTATCGGAGGTCAGTTGCGGATTGCAATGGGCGTCTGATTCTCTAAAGATGGAAACTAACCTGACCAATGATTGTTAGACTTAATTTTTGAACTCAAAATGACCTTAAACTCTATTGGTTAATTACGTTCCCTTGTCCCACCTCAAGGAGTGTCGTCAGCGTACAGTCTTCCCTTAAGTTTACGCAACCCTTCAGTGTCTCGAGGCTTTAATTGCTTTGGGGCAAACCCTGCAGTTTTCAATAATTTCAATGGATTGCGAATTCCTGTCATGCTGAGGCCACAATTCGAGATGCCCTTTTAAATAATTATAAAATTATACATAGCATTTAGGTAAAACTAAGGGTGACTATCTTCTGGAATTTTTTTATATATTTTTAACAAAATTAGCTTCATTGGAACTACGCAGTATTTCGTTAGTTTCAGCTGCTCCTCTCTAATGATAATTTCCAAACCGCATCTGTCAACGCGTACATTGACAGAAGGTAGAATCGTATCCAGCCTGGCGCACCTGCTCCTATCAGCTAGGGGAAAACTCTACTAAAAACCTACCTGTTTGTCTCCTCTTTTTCATATTTTCCTACAATTATGACAATTTTTAGTAATATGCTAGCCTTCGGAATTGTTAGATATCCCATGATACGCCTCTGATGCGTGACCGTTCAGCGCACGGGGTCGTTTCTAAAATCTGCTAACCAAATGGTTGAGATTCAAATTTCTCGGCACTCCTTTGGTTGTAACTTGATAGTTATAGCAACCAAATGTTATTACAGAATATATCCGATGTACAATCCAGTGTGAGACACCGACTTGACAAGCAATACGTCTCGTACTCTGTCTCGAATACTCGTCAATTAAATTCAAAATTTGTTCTTTGGTTTCCACTCCAACTTCACGATGCCTTCCGCGATTGTTAAAATTAGGCACTACGCTCCCTGTGTCCAGAAGGTACGAATGTTTTTCTAGTTGGTAGCCTTCGATCATGAAAACGTTCTTCGTAAATACGCCTAGCCTATTAAGAATTGCAATGAGCCTGTCCGTAAATAATATGCATAACGTGATACTCGCGTACCGAAAACATCTCTTTCGGATCAAAATGCACGCACTAATACAGTAATACATACTGGATCGTGAGCAACACGCGATGATACATGCAGTGCAGGCGGAGTACGACGTTGCCAGTTGTGTGAGGGATTTTGTTTGTCTGTTTTTCTTCGGAAAATTGTATCTAATGAGCAAAAAATTATTTTGTTAGAGACAGTTAATTAATAAATAGATGTATTGATACATTTTACGCTATCAGGCATATGAATTTAAATTATTAAGGTGCAAAATTAATTTATCTCATAACTAAAAAGTAATAAGTTTGGCATTTTTTTGCTCCGAAACGGTTTATTTTCAGACATAGATTATAATGAACTTTTTTGCTTAGAATAATACAAGGAATCTCCTCTTAAAGTTACGAATATTATTTTCCTAACACCCTGCATAATAAACAACTTATTCCAAATCTATGTATAAG